ACTGGCTCTTATCATATGAGCCTGCACCTACAGTCTTGCCAGTACAGCCCAGACACATCATTAGCCAAATGAGACATGCCAGGGAGAGCAAAAGATTCATTTCTAAATCATGGTGCCGATCCAAAAATCACACTTTACCCCCACCCCAGGGAAAACAGTGTACTGGAGACATCTGCTTTTGGATCTTCGATCCTTTCTAGCTTGACCATTGAATGATATCAAGGTGAAGCACCGGAGACAGAGTGGCTTTCATGGAAGCAGCTGGCAATTGTGGGATTCCTGCCCAACCTTCCCCCGAAACCACAGCAGATTCTGGGCTGCAGCTATCTATCAGACGTCTTATAAAACATCTCTGTTTAGGGGATGTTCAGGGAATCGGGACTGAGCATGCAAAACAACGGGGACTTTTAAAATATGAAAGTCAGTTTGCACAGTGAGGGTTGTGCTGTGAGCAGGCGGTCAGTGGTTCAAATCCAGACACAAACTCACTGGGTGGCTTTTCAGGTTCAACACTCCTCTCCCTTCCTATCTGCAATATGGAAATAATAACAGCATTTACACAGCACTTTCAAAGCACTCTGCTCACAGTAGCTTGCTGTCTTTTTTACAACAATGCTGTATATCAGACAGGGAGAATGGCTTGACTGTGGATACATAGTGGGTTCCTGAAGAAGGCAGGATTTGAATCAGGAACATCCCATATCACATCTCATTATCTTAATCACTGTGCTATAACAGTTTCTATAACAGAGAAGCAGATTTGTGTAATGGTCAGAGTACTGAGCTGGGACCTGGGACACCCACCCTACTCATGAAGCTTGCTTGGGGTAGTCACAGTCTCTCAGCCTAACCTACACCACAGGGTTGCTGGGAAGATAAAATGGAGGAGAACATCCCCCCCCCAGCTTCTTGGGAAAAGGGCAAGATCTTAAAAGGACTACAAAAATAAATACCAGACTACTGTACAGGGTTGTTGTTATATGGTTTACACAGAAGATTAACATGCACTCCTTGGAACGCTTGGAAAGCGCTACATGCACGTAATAGGATGATCGAGATTGTTTTGCATTGAGATATAGGAAGGATAATTAAGATCTGGCTCTTAAAGCGAGCTTCCACTGTGTGGGCATGCTGCTAGAGATTTTATAGAATAGATTTCATCGTGTTATTCTATTTAATTGATGGTTGTGTTTTAGGGTATTTATAGCAGTCACAGCACTGCAGCCGAGGGACTGAGCTTGGAATCCTCCCCCATTCAAACCTCAGCCAGTGACTGTCCTTAGAAAAAGTGGCTTGCCTCTCTGTAAGATAAGGATGATATTAATTTCCTCTGGGGAGCTCAAGGTGGCATAAATAAGGGTCATCAGAGGTGTCCCCAACCCAGGAACGAACAGACCCAGACAGGGTTAGTTTCAGCCAGGCAGCTCCGCCACATACCTTCAGACTACACCACCACAAGCATCCCTTACGGTGCGTTGCAAGGCTCACAAAACAACATACACAAAGTGCTTTGCAGGCACCACATGAACATCAAGCATCATGAACGATCAGTGCTTACTGGTGAATCATACTGGTTTGGAAAATGATTTGGGGAAAATCTCTGGTTCGAATCTCACTTCCACCACAAACTCTCTAGGTGCCCTTGGAAAGTATCTCAGCGCCCCCCCCCCATTCTAACAGAATATTACTTACAGGGTTGTCTTAAAGACTATAAACAAGGTTGTGTCCATAAAGAGCTCTGAGTGCTCTAACAAAGCACTTCGTAAAATGGCAAGCACAATTCTTGGGTTTAGCGTATTGCTAAATGCTGCTCACGAGCGATTTTGAGAGCTTGAAGAGGTGTGAGCCGGATGTAAAGCCGCTAAACAACTCACAGCCATAAAAAACAAATATTAATGAAGTGACATTTCATGCTGCATCATTAAGATTTTACGCCTTTATGTTAAACTTGCCCCAAGCTGTGGGTGAGTAAGAAATTTAAATAAATGAACATTAGCATTCGTTGGTGCCAGAACTGTACAAAACGCTACATCGGGAACTAAGCTCATTCATCGTGTCCACTCAAGATTCTTCCCTACCGAGTGTGGACACGACTGCAGCTTCAGAACTTTACTTCTTCCATTCCCTCTCAGTCTCTTGGCACTGATGTGGAGGAGGAGAGGATTTTTGAAAGGGACACCTATTGGGAGACACAGCGATTCATTTGCAGACCCCCCCCCCTTTGGTTTATATACAAAAGGGCCCTGGTCACAATGAACACATGAAGCTGCCTTTACACTGAATCAGACCTTTTGGTCTATCAGGGTCAGAATTGTCCACTCAGACTGGCAACAGCTCTCAAGGGCCTTCGGCAGAAGACTTTCACATCACCTACTACCTGATGCCTTTAACTGGAGACACCAGGGATTGAACCGGAGACCTGCAAACTAAGCAGGTGCTCTACCTCTGAGTGGTTCAATCCCTTGCCAACTCTACAGCAATCAGGGTTGGACAAAGAACTGGGAGACCAAGGGTCGAATCCCCACTCAGCTATGGAAGCCTGGTGGGTAACCCTGGGCCAGGTCACACTGTCTCAGCCCCACGTATCTCACAGGGGTGTTGGTGTGAGGATAAAACGGAGAAAGGAAATTGTAGGTTGCTTTTGGTCCCCATTGGGAAGAAAAGCAGGGTTATTATGGCCATATACAATAAACCTAGGGGCTGCGGTGGCTCAAGTGGTTAAGATGCTGAACTGTGGACCGGAAGGTCAGTAGTTCCAGCAGTTTGAGACCCGAGTGCCACAAGACGGAGAGAGCTCCCGTCTCTGGTCCCAGCTCCTGCCAACCTAGCAGTTCGAAAGCAAGAAATTGCAAGTAGATAAATAGGTAACACTTTGGTGGGAAGGTAACAGCATTCTGTGCGCTTTGGCATCTAGTCATGGCCACATGACCATGGAAATGTCTCTGGACAGCGCTGGCTCTTCGGCTTGGAAATGGAGATAAGCACTGCATTTATAGAGTCGGATTCAACTGGCTTTCAAGCAAGGGAAACCTTTACCTTTACAATAAACTTACTCTACCACTACTACTGTATATGATTATATTAAACAATGTTAAAAGATAGCAGGGCTCTAAATGGATGCCACAGAGAACCTATTGCCAGTGATACAAGAGAACTCTGGGCAAGATGGACCTATGATAATAATCAATAGTTATCATATGGTGTAGTGTAGTCAGGAGATCCAAAGATTGTCCGGCAGCCTGAAACTCTAGCTCTTTTTGTGGCAAACTAGGTTTATTTGGGGGGGGGGGCTGAGAGAACTGTGACTGACCCAAGGTCACCCAGCTGGCTTCAAGTGGAGGAGTGGGGAATCAAACCCGGTTCTCCAGATTAGAATCCTGTGAATCAGACTGCAGGAGAATCCAAGCTCAAAATGTGGCTTTACAGCTAGCTAAGCCACAGTTCAGTGGTAGAACACCTGTTTCTACAAACAGAAAGTCCCAGAGAGGAATCTTCAGTTAAAGGGGATAGTGAGCATTGGGACTGTTCGCTGCCCAAGACCCTGGAGAGTCCCCACTAGAGCTCATACTGAGTTAGAAGAGCCACTGGTCTCTCAGTATGAGGTAGTGATATCTGCATGGAGAGCCAAGGAATTTATAGTGCTGACCTCCAGCAGGTAACCCTGATTGACATCACAGAATTCACTCCCTGTCCCAAGACATTAGCTCACCTGTCCCCTTCTCTTCACCCTTCCGAAGGGTCAGAAAAGAGAGCGGCTTTTCTACGAAGCATTTGATATCAGATAGCCAGATCTAAATCGCTGGATGCTGCATATCTTTTATGCAGCTGTTCTAATTTTATGATGGTTTCCTGGGAGATTTTAATGGCTGGTTGATCTGGCTTTATTGATACGCTGTGGTTCTGAGCCACTTTGAAAGACTTTGCTCAGTGGCAGCATCTGAGTACTGTGAAATAAGAACAAAACACCTCTACGAAAGCTTGCTGCTGGCATGTTTTACGTTTTGGAGACGCAAACCTTGGAAGGAAACAATCTTGCTACTAGCCGCTCTGTTTCACCAATGGAAGGGCTGCTTCCATGGGTCGGCATCTTCAGCCAGCCCCTGAGCCCGCCTGAAGGTTCTTCCGCTTCCCTTGGAAGGAAGAACTCGGTTCTATTCAGGAGCTACCAAGAGACAGACAAAATTTCTGTGCCTAACCTATGTAACTCCAATATATTTCCCCTTTCTGTTGGATTTTGATTGTGGCAAGCCACTTGGAAATCTGGAATGAAAAGTTGGACATTAATAGGTTATATCCCCAGTCAGTGTAGCATAACGGTTCAGAGATACACAGTGCAATCCTATGGATGTTTACTTGGAAGTAAGTGCCACTGTGTTCAATAGGGCTTACTTACCAGGAAGTGCAGGTAGGATTGCAGTGCAAGTGATGTTCTGGGAACTCCTTGGCTTGAATCTCAGCTGAGCTACAAGCTCTCTATGTGGCAAACCATTCTCTCACCACCCTCTGTCTACAACACAATGATCAGAACCCTGACCTCCCTCGCAGGGTTGTTGCAATAATTCGATGATATTTTACATTAAGTGCTTTGAAGAATGTATAAATGCTAATTAATCTTTATTGTTTGTTTATACAGCTCGGTGCTTTGCAAAGTATAAGATAACAGGACCCTAGCCCCAGGAATTTAAAAATTAAAAAATGACACAAGGGGAGGGGGGGAATCAAGAGGATGGGAGGGAGCCACTACAGAACAGTGGCCAGACTAAGACCAGAGATGTCCTTCCTGAAATCCCCAGTCAGCCACCCAAGTTCACTGCAAGGCACTGGGCGAGTCATCCAGTTGCACTGCCACCCACCGGACAGTTTCAGGGACAAAACTGGGAAGCCAAGATACATCGCCCTGACCTCCTTAGAGGAAAGACTGGATACATGAACAAAAGGAAAATGTGTATTAATTGTAATTGATACCAGTTATAGCCAAGACAGCCCACATCCCACCTTACCTTGACTGCCTCGGCATGGGTCACTTTGTCCAGGGGCTTGTCGTTGACTTTTAAGATCTGGTCGCCCACCCGGAGGCCCTCCTTCTCCGCCAGGGACCCTGGCTCCACCAGGGAGACGTAGATGCCCACGCCGTGCTCGGACCCGCCCCGGATGCTGAACCCCAAGCCCTCCTGGGCCTTATTCCTCTTGAGGGTCACCTGCCTGACCTCCCCTCGGAGCTCCTCCAAGCCGGAGGCCGCCAGGGGAGCTGCCCCGTCCAGGAGGGTGCTGAAATCTTGCGGGGACTTCCGAGCCACTGGAGGTGGGGGAGGCCAGAAATGGGTAGCTGGAGCGGGCGACACGGCGGGGGAAGAGGCAGCCGCCGCGACGGAGGCCAGGGCCCGGGGAGAGGCCGCGCCGTCGAGGCCCCCATTGGCGGTAGTGGGCAAGAAGTCCGCCTTCAAGTAGAGCCCCTCGGAGGTGTACTGGTCGAAGAGGAGCTGGTCGGAGCGGGGAATGACCAGGCGGAGCATAGGCAGGAGCTGCCTCTTTTCCGGGCCGTCCAGGAGGACCTTGAGGGTCTGCACCAGGTCGAAGACGTTCCTCCGGCAGTGGTAGACGTTCAAGCAGTGGATGAACTGCTCCCGCTCGGCCTCGCTCAGCAGCAGGTTCAGCGCCCCGTGGAGCTTCCTCACGTTGGACGACAGCAGCCGGATCCCTGCCCCAGAGGAGGAGGAGGCGGAGGGCCCCGGCGGCCCCCCAACCGCCGGCGCCCCCGTGGCCGAGCCCAAGGAGGTGGAGGAGGAAGCGCACGAGGTGACAGACGCGCGGTCCAGATCCGCGCTCATCGCCCCCTCCCCACGGGTCCGGCGCTTGGAGCGGGGCAGAGAACTCAGGGCATCGGAGAGCCAGGTGTGGGGGGGGGGGATGGGGGCGCCTAGACGGGGAGGAGGGGCTCTGCTTTCAGTTGGGGGCCCCCGAGGGCCTCGCCGGCTTACGAGGCCAACCGAAGGGCAGGGAAGCCATCAGGAAAGGAGCAGGGCGAGGGCGACAGACCCCCTTCCTTGGCTCCCAAGCCGTCTAGGGACGGAGACCCCGCCCCCCCGCGGGGGGTCAGTGGGTGGGCTCCAGTCCTCCCCCTTCGGCGGAAAGGAACCGCCCGCGACTTTCGAGGCGAGGCGAGCTGCGGAGCACCGCGGCTCCCTTGGCGTCCCCTGTCCCCGTCTCCCCTCACCCGCCCGGAGAGCAGAGGGCGGCAGCGCTTCTCGCCTCGCAGCGGGGGAAGTTCGGCGCGCCCGGCCAGCGCCTCGCCGGAGCTGCCTTCTCGCCTTCCGCTTGGAAGTCCGGGCTGCTCCCAGCCGCTCCTCGGCGCCGCCTCCTTGCAACGCGCTGCCTCGCCGAGGCGTCACAGACCGAGAGCTCCCCGAAGTCTGGCCGCCGCGTCTGAAGAAGTCAGAAAAGCCACCCGGATCCAGGCAAGAAGGAGAAGAAGAAGAAGAAGAAGAAGGAAACTTCCGCGCGCCCTCCTCTCCTCTCCTCTCCTCTCCTCCCCTCCGCCGGAGCTCCGCTGGGGTTGGGCTGCTGCCCGGGTCTCCCGGGCTTGGCTGCCGGGCGAGCAGGCGAAGGCGAGACTTTTGCAAAACTGTTGAGCCGCCCGTTTGCTGCCGCGCCGGGACCAGCCTCTTGGCCGCCGCGGCTCAGGAAATGACGCGCCTCCCCCGTTGCCCGGCGACGGCCCGATACAGTCCGGCTGGCCCGGGGTGAAGGTGCTCAGGAAGTCCCGGGCCGGGTTGCAGGAGAGAGAGCCGGGCGGCTGGGATGGCGCTGCCGCCGGATAGGGCAGGCGCGTTGGGCTGGCCGTGCCGTCGCCCCGCCTTTCCAAGGTGCGGCGCCAGGCGAGGATTCGAGTGGGGAAGCTTCCCCCACCGTTTGCAAAGCGGGAGCTCCGCCAGTTGCATTTCTGACTGCTGAGCAGCTGTTAAGGGCCTGAGTTGGCTGCAAGGACATGAGTGGCAAAGATGGTTACCGCCTTTCTGTGGGTCCTCCAGGCCCTTAAAAGATACGCAGCAGGCAGAAGTTCAAGAGGAGATGCTTGCCCATCTGCAAAAAAACTGCACAAGTTGAATTTCTGCCTCTGGGCACTTGATACATGCACAGAAACCCTGAGCTGAAGGCCAATGACTAGGCTGGCAACTTCTGAAGAAGGAGGAGGAGAGAGGAGGTTGGATTTATACCCTTTCCTTCATTCAGAGTCTCAGAGCAGTTTACAATCTCCTTTCTCTTCCCCTCCCCACAACAAACATCCTGTGAGATTGGTGGGGGTGAGAGAGCCCTTTCAAGGTCTGCTCTTGAGAGAACAGCTCCAAGACAACTTGTGACTGACCCAAGGTCACACCAGCCAGCTGCATGTGGAAGAGTGAGAAATCAAACCCGGTTATCCCAGATTAGAGTCTGCACTCTTAACCACTACACCAAACTGGCTCTCTGATAGGGTGCCCCCCTTCTGTGTCCCTCTCTAACTGCCTGAACAGCTCCAGAGTCTTTGATTAAGAAGATGTGACAAGGTAGGAGTTCAATAGGTGAACCCTCCCAGACCTTCAAAAAGCTGTACCTTTGGATTCCTTCTTTTGCCAGGTAGCTGTTGAAGGCACTGGAGACTGGGTAGAGGGGAGTTAAGAAGTCAGAAAAGGCTGCAGTGTTTCCCGCCCCTCTGCCTTTGCAAGCTGCAGTGAAAAGCTCGCCCCCTACCAATGCTCCCTCTAAGCTGTGGAGTCCTGTGAGCAAAAATTCTACTTTGTGAGCTACTGGCATTAAAGTTGTGAGCAGGTGATATGACTACTGCATAAACTAGTTTGCTCTGGAGCCATCCCTTCCTGAGCAAAGACAAAAATGTGTGAGCTGGAGGCTAAAAAACTGTGAGCTAGCTCACACTAACTCAGCTTAGAGGGAACACTGCAGCCCCTACACCTATCAGAAGCACCAGGTTCCTCCTGTGCTTAATGTAATATTGAAGAGCGCGGGGGGGGGGGATCAAACCTGACCTCTGTCCAGAAAACCTCTCATCCTAATGAATTATTTCAGGCTGCACTTGGCTCTGGAACCTGTGACATTTTGACAAGGGTGAGAAACCTCTGTGCATGTGTGCGCCCATCAAAGTTTTTACATTTTGCCAGAGGCCCTTGCTCGAAGGAACTCAGAGTGCTGTGTGCGAGAATCTCCAATTTTACCTTCACAGAAACTCACTGAGGTAGATAAGGAACTTGCCTGTGATTATCCAGTCAAGTTTCATGGCTAAGTGAGGCTTGGAATCCAGGTCTCCCTGAGCCGGGCCCATTGTTCTAGTCACCACATGGCAAACGGGCCATCATCCAAATAAAGGCATTGTAAACACAGCCCTGCTAGATCAGGCCAAAGAACCACCAGGTTCAGAAAAAAGTTTTGAACAGCAGCCAGAGAGATTATCAGGAGCCCACAAACAGGTAATAGCCCTCCCTTGTTATGCGTCCTCTGTATGTGATAGGTAAAGGTAAAGGCTCCCTTGCTCGAAAGCCAGTCGAGTCCGACTCTAGGGTTGCGGTGCTCATCTCCGTTTCAAAGCCGAAGAGCCAGCGCTGCCCGAAGACATTTCCGTGGTCATGTGGCCGGCATGACTAAACACCAAGGCGCACGGAACGCTGTTACCTTCCCACCAAAGTGGTACCTATTTATCTACTTGCAATTTCTTGCTTTCGAACTGCTAGGTTGGCAGGAGCTGGAACTAGAGACGGGAGCTCACACCATCATGCGGCAACTCAGGTCTCGAACTGCTGAACTACTGACCTTCCACAGCCTGCAGTTCAGCCCCGTAGCTAGGGAATATTTGGGGGAGGGGGCCTCAGGGGGGGCCTGCCAGCTAATTAAATGGAAGTACAGTGCAGGTGGTAATTTGGAGCACTTTGGAGGCAGGCCCAGAAGAAACACTAGGGGGCCAGGCCCCATGGGCCCCATGTTAGCTACGGGCCAGCTGCAGTTCAGCGTCTTAACCACTTGAGCCACCACAGCTCTGCCTGTATGTGATACTCCAAGGTATACTTCCTCCAGACATGGAGGCACCATAGTAAAGGGTCTTCCAATGTGCTTTTTTTTCAGGCGAGAAAACCTCTCTGTGCATGCTCTCCTCTTCACATCCATCAAGTCCAAGTCTAGCCCAGTGTTCACAATGGTGGTTTGTGGGGGGGGGGGTCAGCAAAATTTGGTGAAATCCACCAGCTCCCTCTTCTGAGCCTCACCCAGTTGGTCTACCCTGGAGCTAGAAATAGGGGACCAACTACCTGGAGAGAGAAAAACCCTGCCCCCTTTAATAGAGACTTAAAAGGATGTTATTTACCAGGTAATATTATCTACCTCCAAGCCATTAAAGGATTCAGCAGTCCATTCTCACCCATTAAAGCCCTATTGAAGGGGCAGGATGTTTTCTTCTAGGCTTGTTGGCAGCCCTCACTGGAAAGCTGTTGCAAAAGCTCAAGGAGTCAGAGGAGCCCAAGCACCCTCTAATCCCAAGTACTGGCCCAGGCACTGGAAAAGAGATTCAGGAGCCAGTATCCTGGAGCCCTTTTACTGCAACAGAGACCGGGATCTCGTGAGCTTTCTAATCGATTCCCATCAGCAGTGCAAAATGGCTTTCCAATGCACACACTGCGCCGCTGAGAAATTGCTGTCGTTAAAGCGGGGATTAATTGTATGCAAAGGAGCTAATCTTCTTGAAGTGTGCTTTATGTTCTTTAGTTGGCTTTCCTAAGTATAACAAAGAGGTGTTCCGTATTTACAGAGGGAACGCTTTCCATCTCCAAAAGTGTTTTAGAAAACGTCGGCCAATTAGCTCTGAGAACACGCTGCCAAGGAGTGCGTGGGTCACGGGAGTAAGTGTGTTGTAAGTGCTCATAAAAGCCAGTCAGAGCTGAAATTTCAATCAGTTGGGCTGGGAAAGGTTAAGTGCCTTGGCCAGAAGCTCTGTGTGACATCAGCAGCAGAGAGGGAAAGGGGGAAAAAAACCACACCCTCAAATTCTTTCAAGCCGTCATTATGCTAAATTGCTCCTATTAATTCCTAACAATGATTTAGGCTCATTCATGTATTTGACTCTGGCAACAAAAAAAATCTATAGAGAAGTCATTACTGTTCCCAGAAAAAAAACACCCTCTGGCCTTCTCCTGTGCTGAAATAGAGGCCTGAGTGCAGCAACTAGCAGGTGATGCTCTGCTTGGCATGGAGGTAAACATCGTCACCTGGAAATGTCTTTGCAAGAAGATGCCATGAAAGGCCCGGTGACGGAGGCCAAGTTGGCCGTTCTAGTGGGAAACTGCAGCTGGACAGATTTGCAGTGGAGCAAGAGTGGAATCCTTAATCCGGTGCGGTGTGGTAGTTAAGAGTATCAGACTAGTATCTGGGAGACCCAGGTTCGAATCCCTGCTCGCGCCATGGAAGCTTGCTGGGCGGCCCTGGCCCAGTCACACTCTCTCAGCCTAAACCTACCTCATCATTGTGAGGATAAAATGGAGGAGAGGAGAATAATGTAAGCCAATCTGGGTCCCCATCGAGAAACAAGGCAGGGGCATAAAGGAATTAATTAAGTAAAAGTAAATACATTCTTGAGCTTTGCTACCCTTTCCCCTTCTCTTACCTCAGGACTAATGCTCCCTCTAAGCTGTGGAGTCTTGTGAGCAAAAATTCTAGTTTGTGAGCTACTGGCATTAAAGTTGTGAGTGAGCGGTTTGGCTACTGCATACATTTGTTTCTTCTGGAGCCATCCTTCTTTAGCTAAGACCAAAATGTGTAAGCCAGGGGCTAAAAAACTGTGAGCTAGCTCTCA